GCCTGCATTGCCTCTACTGGGACACACGATACTTTAGCACATTAGGGATGCCAATTTTAAATTAAATATGATTAGAGAGGTTAATCAAAACTGACATTTAATATCTGCTCACTCCTGACAGCAAACTTATCACCCCGTACCACCAAAACAAGAGGAAGGAGCAAGGCTGAGATGTTCTACCTTGGTGTGTTTACCCAGTACCTTCTAACAATTAATTTGTATGTAGAATAGTTTTAACATGTTTATCTGTGCATGTGGACAAAACTAACCCCAACCAAACAAAACACAAACACTTTATATCCCTGTCAATGAGGAAAGACTGTCATCTTCCACAAAGGTCAGCAGCAGGGTGGACTGCAGAATGGGCATTGGAGCACTGCAGATATTGCTGTGCAGAGTCCGTGGCCTCTCACAAAGCCTGAGTGCTGGCAGGCTAAGTGCACTGTGGGCACCATATTCAAAGGCATGCCCTTCTTGGAATAATCAAGTTATAACAAAGGTGTTGTCCAAAGCATAGAGAAGATGTGCAACCTACACCTGAGAAACCACGCTTCTGTAGGAAAATGGCTTAATAACCTGCCTAAAATATTCTTCATACTTGCTTCACTTTTCAGGCTTTTTTTTCCCAGAGTCCTTTTGCAAGCTCTTCACAGTCTAAGCTGCCCTTGGACAAGGATAGCACAAACTGTTCCATGAGTCTATTATAGGACTGTATCTTTCATACCTCAGAAAGGCACTGATTTTAACATCTATAAAAGTGACAGAACCATGCTGATGTATTCTCTGCCATTCTACAGTGCAGCAATTTTCTTCCTGCTGGCAATGCAAGCAGGTGAGTTGGAAGTCAGACCAACCATTCTGGTTTTGTCTCACTGTCTAGACTTGGCAAAGGCATTCACATCCAAGTTTTAAGGTAGAGCAGCACCCTCAAGGTGTTTCACACTTGAGGTGTTTAAGCTGGCATTAAGCACCCTAAAGTCACCACACACTTCAGCCTCGGTCTCACAGGCCTTCCAACCCCAAATCTGGTGCACAACATAAGGTGCTGGGGTTTTCAGTTTTTAAACTTCAGCTTCACACTGAAATATAGCTATAAGACTTTCAGCAAACCACATAGCCAGCCATAACTTGCCATAATCTGTAAGACACATCACGGAATGGTTGGACATGATGATTTTAGGAGGTCTTTTCCAACCTGAAAGATTATGTGATTCTGTGAGGTCTGTCTTATGGGTTTTCGCTTAGCACAGAGCAGGTTGTAGCAAACAGAACTAGAGAATTCCATATGGACCCTTGCAGGAATTTGTACAACATTCATCACCTAATACACTTCTGTTTCCTTGGGGCACGTAGCACTCAGGGGATAAAGAGATTCCATTGAAAGGTGTACATTGGTGCATCATGTTTTCATATCAGTGAGATGTACATACAGAGTACTTTATACACAGCTAACGGCTACCTGAGAGGAACTGCAGGATGCAAAATAATAAGAGGTCTAGCTATAAATGCCTATCACAAACAAAATATTGGTGACTTCAGAGGACAGACCAAAGAGCAGAGGACAAATGGCATACAGATGTACTGGTACTCCTCAGTACGACTGAGACTGCCACAACACCACTAGCAATATCTGAATTCATTCTTTCTCCTTTTTCTGCCACACATTTAAAATGCTATGAATAAAACTTACTTTGTAATTAAGGTTGAAACATCAACAGTCAACAGGTACACAAATTAATTTATTCCAGTAGTGCCCAAAAAAACCCCAAGCAATGTCTTTGCAGTAATAAAAACTGAATGTAATCAAATATCTGATTTGTTCAGCTAAACAACACATAAATACAGCAAAGAACTCTGCTTCTTGTCAGTTTTTATCTTCCCACATTTTAATTAGAAAAATAATTGTGAAGAAGTGTCACAACATATTAATACAATTTCTGTATTTCCAGTTCACAACTGCAGCCAAGACTACTTAGGACAAAAACTTATTTAAACTGCATTTACACTATTTCAGCTTAGGGTTCTCATAAGCAAACAAAGCAAGCATACTTATTTCCACAAAAATGTATTAGTTGAAGAGGAAGAACCCTTTTGTTTGGTTTGGGGACATTTTGCTATCCTGGTCAGCTATAAATATAATAAATACAGCTCAGCAATCAAAACAGCAGCACAGATCAGCAAACACACTCCAAGATGTACATGTACAGCATGGCAATTTCTTCACAAAGCTCAGCCAAAGCTGGAATTCCATTTTTTTTTTCTGCCAGAAAGCATCTTTGCCTTGATTTCAAAGATTTTAATAGAGGGATGTTGTGGATTTTCCATAAATCGGAGATGACAATAATAAACTAGCATAATCAAAAAAGCCCCGGTGCTATATTTTTCTTCAATGAGTTGAACCCATTGATTTGTAGAGTTTAACCTGCATAGATTAACAACCCTCTAACTTCAGAAATGTCTCTTGCGTGTATAGACTACAATAAGCTACTCAGATTGATAATCTTCAGGGTTTTGTTGTAAATTTTTTTTTGTTCTGGAAACAATTCTTGCCATTTCTTTAAAGAAAATTTAAAACTTTCCAGTTTTCCAGCATTCAGAATTCCAAACTCACTAATGCTACACTGGAAGAATACTCCTAACTCACAGTACCCTCCTCATACTCACCTGCCCCAAACTCTTTTCAGTACAACCTTACAGCGGGGTTCAAATACAGCCATCACTATCTTCATCACTACTTTCACAATGGTCCCTTTGCAGGACATACCTATCATTTACATTCTCTATTTCCAGATGATGGGCCTTATTTTTTACATCCTATGATTTTCTTTTACTTCTTTTAAGCTGTATTGAAACAACACTACTGGGTTTGGTCACTTACTGGAAAACCTTGGACATGTTACTGCATGGAAAGATGGAAATAATGGCAATCTAACTTCTGCTCACCTTTACATATTATAAGGGATGCAAAGGAATCAATTTCAGGAAAGACAGAGTTTCCTACCATTGACCTCTCCATTAATCAGCAAAGTAACTGGTAAAATATATAGTTTGGGTAATCTGTATATCTTACCAGTAACTGTATTTTGCTCTAGACATTGAGGATACTAAACCATAAACCATCAGCAAGTAAGTGCTCTGACGCAGCCACACCAAACATGTGGCATCACTGCATTCACAGTCTATTTTGTGCCATCCTGTTTATAAATTCAAGATGTACATTTTAGGAGGTGTTAGTAATTGATATGCTGGGGGTCCAGTTAAGCCTTACTTGTTTCCACCTCCAGTTTGTCAAACTTTAGAATTTTAAATGGATTACTGCACCTTTCAAAGTATCAGAGACACTCCTTTACAAAAAGGAGGAAGACAGCTTTCAAGTCAATTTTACAAGGACAACTGGCTTCAAGAATATAAATTAAAGATGAAATGCAATAGACAACAGCAAAAGGTTTCACATCATGCAAACATAATGACTGCTCAAGAATCCCTTGCAATCAGAAAGAAAAAAAAAAACACCACTTCTTTCTTACGGTCAAGCTAACCTGCCATCTCATACCTCTGTTATATTATGTGTGATTACCCATTTCCTTACAAAATTGCACACCAGTCAGAGCCCAGCTTTTGTCAAATGGTGAATAGCTGAATTTCTTCCTGTTTTGAAATACCAACCTGCCAACCACAGGCAATTTCCAAGGTAATGAGTAAAATGTCTCGAGCATCATAACTAAAAAAAAAAATTTTAAAAAAATCTCCCTTTTGTTCCATAATTAATGTCCTACAAGTAAAAGCAGTGCAATCAACTGTACATGAAAAGAATTGGAAGTAAACCATTTACTCTCTTCAAAGAACTTAACGCCTCAATTCTTTTTCCAAGGAAAGGCAGGCAAAGTCTAAAGCTCAGTGTTATCTCTAGAAGATTAAAGCAACAAATCAACAAATATCATGATTTATTATTCTTTATAATTATTATACAGGGCATAATGTTAACTGTTAAAGGTAAATGACAGGCTACACTGCAGAGACTCATACTCCTGTTCTGCCTGGAGCCAAGATAAGCCAATCCAAACTCTGAGCTATGGGAAAATTATATCAGAGGCACTTCAACAGCTATTTCATACCTATATATATATAGAGATACCTATATCTATTTCTATATAAAGAATGATAGATATATAGATATAGATATAGCCTTCCTGTCCTTAGATTAAATTAAAAAAGCCTGAAAACCAGGTGGATTTTGGTCAGTGAACTCCCCATTTAACTTCATAATTCTCCTCTGGTAAGGAACAAAAATATTATTTTGGCTTGATTCAACTTGATCTATTTCTGTTTTGCTGCTAAACCGCGCTCGTTATTTTCAGAACATTAACATTTGCATTGCATCCTCACTATCTGGTATCTGTAACTCCTGGAAATGTGGCATCCAGTTTTCCAAAAGTAGCACAGCATTTATTCTTACCAACCAGGAATACAAACATAGACATTGTGACCACATTCACGGAGCACCCAGAGGTCTTTAGTAGGCTAAAGATTACTTTTGTCTTTAAAGAAAGTCTCTCACACACTTATCAGCTGCATATTGGGAGAGATTCATCACATATCCCACCACTCACCCAAATCCATCTGACCGAGGTCATCAAAATACTAAATTGACAAAAGGACGAAAAGAATCTCAACACAGAATTACCCCTGGAGCTCCTGAACCTGCTAACAAATTTCCACTCAGTCTTGAGAGACAGCAGGCACGCAGACAGTCCTGCATTACCAACTGGGGGCCCACTGACACTTCCCACTCTCAGCACAACATGGCATGTACTGTGGGCAAAGATAAGGATGACTAAGGGAATATTTGTCACATAAACAGAAAAACAGCCCTGTTAGGTCTATCAGCCATCTAACTTCAATAGTTTGTCTTGTGCAAACTATAATCACATCATTACAGGCTACCTAAATAGAAACATCAAAAAAGGAATCTTTTAGCTCTGCACCAATTTTGCATACACCTTAAATTTACACAGAACAGAGAGTTCCCACAAGGCAGGATTCATTCTCTGTCGTTCCAGAGCAATTCAGCCCAAAACAAAGCTATACTTCAGTGAGGGCATGGTAGACAGAGAAGGGAAGGGAGTTGCTGTAGCTATAAAATGGCTCAAGCCTTCACAACATGTTACAGGTCTAAAGATATAAAATCGAAGTACACTGTTCCAGCAACAATGTTTGGATTTTCTGTACTCTTTAAGTCTATCACAGAGAGTTCAGCAGGGCAAATGTGACCAGCAACACAACACCAACCTACAGCACCACAGACTTGCTGCTTTCCTCTCTGAAGCCCCTTATGTACCTCAGCCTTGCCTCCAAACCAGTGCCACCATTCCTACAGTGACACTTCCCTCTCCCTTCCAATGTGCATTTTAATGACTCAGAGATCCCACCTATATTTTGCTATTATCACCTAAATTTTACAGGTATTCTGAACAGCCTGAATTTATTCCAACAGTGCCTTGGATGTCAACAAAAATAAACTGCAAATTATGGGGTTCATTTCTTTGTTTCTAGACTTAACATTTGACTTTTAAGAGCAATCCAAGGTGGGCAGACTCTCCATAATAAGGGTAAGCAACCTTTCTGCTGGAGCTCTGCAGGGCAGGAAGGACTGACACCTGCGGCAGGAAAATAAAGGCTTCAAGGAAGCACTGCTTCAGTCAGGAGCACTGCTGTCAATCTTCACTAGTCCTGCAACCCTCTTAGATCGCCTCATAATGCTCACAAACATATTTTCATCTCTCCACACTCTCTCATAATATTTTATCCCAGATGAGACCATTTCCACATCATGTTCCTATTACCAGGATCATGAAAGGGAGACCTTCCACATGGAGTCAAGAAGGTAAGTACAATAGCATCGTTTCTCTTCACTTTCTTCATCTGAAAAGTAGAACTGTGTTTAAGAAATCAGATAGGAAACAGCTGACCTCAACTTCTGTGTTTCTAGCTGTTGGTACTTACCTAATTTTATTATTAACGTGACAGTCTCTCTTGAAAATTTTAAAAAATGAGATTCAACCACTTGCCTGCATACCATGGGGTCAGGCAGTCAAGCCTGAGTAGAAATTCACCCATCACCATGTATTTTTAATAATACATGTAGTAAGCAATTAATCTATTTACTTTTTCTTTTTTTTTTTCCCAAAGAAAAATACCATGAAAAGCAATAGCCAGATGACAAATTTGGACATATCAAAAATCTTAAAAAAACATAAATGGATTTTGCACATTATGCATTTCTCAGAAATTATGCAAAATGCAAATGGTACTGAAATTTCTGAAGTGAAATACTTCAGCCCAGAACTGCCTGCCACTTCACTGAAAGCTATTTCTTTGTCGTAATCACGCAAGTTGTTTTGACAGTTTCACTTCTATGTTGACTATAAATAGGTGACTATTTCATGGATGAATGAACTGGAACAACTATCAACAATATCTATCAGCCTGGAGCACGAAGACTTAGCCATGCTCCAACAGCTAACTACAAACCTGTACGAGTCAAAGCGATGAAAACCTGTATTTACTGTACACTGTAATTCACTTGGATTTTATAAAGTAACTGTAAACTACCTGACTAAATTAACAACGTACTTCATGATCTGCATTTAAACGAAAAGGAAACAACTCAAATGTAGACAAGAGGAAGGAAGAGCTTACTGAAAATCAAACTGGAACAAGAGCAAAAATTCTTACAAGACTGCACATTTCCTAGGTCTCCGTGGAGTGCTGTTTCTTTACACCAAACCATGAGCTTTAGTTCATGTTGCTGTTCAGTTCCTGTCAAGGAAAAAGTCACGCTTCTGTCTCAGTACAGCTGATGCCTGAGGAGTAGCTGCTCTGGTAGGTCCTGCACGTTCAGCCTGTGACACGTTCAGCAGCTGACTGACACCTGCAAAGGAAGGATAAGGAGTGCCCTAAGACAGCCCTCGGCAGCTCCTCACTCCACATTCTCTGGAAGAAGCCTCTGGTTCAACAGCCTGACTTCACATGGTAATCACAGCTGGCACCTGAAATATGAGACAGAATGAGCACCTGGCATCTTGGTCCTTTCCAGTGCTTTATTTGCAACTGCTGGGTGTTGAGGCACAGGCAGCAAAGAGCACCTCTGCACAGAACATAGCAGCTGCCAGTATCTGCAGCTCAACAACAGAGCAGTGAGCCTGCCAAAAGATGTTTTAGAAAAAATTGCTTTGCAGAACAGGGAAAGGTTGGAGGCAGGAAATATATTCTTATTTTTTAGAGCCCTTCCGGCTAATTTGATTTTGTCCCTTCTTCACAGCAAAACTGACTGTCTCTGAATCTCAGACAACTGCTGCAGGCATGGGAGAACAATTTCTTTATCAACTTTGAAAGACCAACACAGTTTAAATAAATTAAATTACTTAAAGGTAACATAGAAAACTTATGGTAGAGGAAAGAATAAATCCAGTCTATCTGAGTAGCATCTCTGCATCACATGTGCCTCTCTGTCCTAAGACTTAGCAGAAAAAAACCCTACCAAGACAAACATTGCATTCTAAATTATCCATATACAACTTTTTAATTTTAGATCTTTTATGTCTAAATCTATTCCTTTTGCAAGTGGATATTTTTGTTGACCCAATATTTTTTATCAAGGGCCCTCAGTTCTTTTGGAGTGTTGTCAAAATATCTGCACCCTGTATTTTGAGAGCACAGCAGGTCGGATGTGAAGAAAAAAGAACCATATGAAAACCAAGAACTGCTTTTAAACCCTCCGAATGGCCCTCATGGTCCAACAACAGTCCAGCTCACTCAAGAACCTCCCAAAATCCCTTAGGGGAACCCAAGGAGGAATGAGAACAAGGAAAGAATATTTTCACCCCTTTTCACCACCCATTTTACAGGTTTCCACTCTGAAAGAGCAAAATACAAATACCTTTAAAGTGGCTTTCACAAAATGCAGCAGCTTGACATCCCTGCCACACTCTGATTCTTCTTTGTCTCACAACTATCACTGCAGAGATCACATGTATTAAAGACGTTCAGCAGCTTGCGTTTACAAGATCTAATTTCACAGGCTTCAGCTATTTTACCAAACATAGAAAACAGCTGCAACAAACAGAAACAACAAATGCAGCAGAGAGGGGCTGCACGCTCTGCAGCCAGCTCTGCTCCACACTTTGGCCTGTTTCAGATAGACTCCTGTTGTTCCTGTATGCTCCAGGGACCATAAACAGCAGAAAATGCAACTGGCACATCATCATGGAAGAACACCAAGGAAGAGCAGCAGAAGTCTAAGAAAGAGTCTCTGGCAAAGGAGTAGAAGCTGTTATTACCTGCAGCTTGCTGTCTCCTGCAGCCACCACCTTTGCATTACGATTTCCTTGCAGTTTTTTCAGAATCCCAGGGAAATGCTATAGACCCAACTCCCTCAGTTCACCCCAAAAGCTTCTGAAGCAGATCCAGCAGCAGCCAGACTGCTGAGGGTTTTCATCTCAGTGAGATACCAGGATGCCTGCACTGTGCGGGAGAAGGAAGGATCAGCACTACCAGTAAGGTCACTGCTTTGCTCACTGGTGCACAAGTTACAAATCAGAGAACTTGAGAATGTTACCTATGTTACCTTTAAGTAACTGAGATTATTTAAACTATGTTGGTTTTTCAAAGCACATAAAGAAGAATTGTTTTTCCCTGCCTGAAGCAATTGTCTGAGGATCACAGGCAGAGATGCTCAGTTATACTGTGAGGAAGAGACTCATAATCAAATTAGCTGGAAGGCTCTAAAAGATAATCACTCATGAACAAAGTGATGAATTAGTGAAATCATGTTAGACTAGTCTGTACAAAGGGAATTGAGCTCATTTGACATATCCGTTTGCTTTCATTCACAATAAGTTCATTAAATAAAGTTTAGTTTCTAGAGTATATTGTTCTGTATATTTGAGAGATTAAAAAAGGATTGTGACACTCCTTCCCCCACTCTGGTGTTCAAGGATGAGAAGAGACTGCAGAGTTTGTCAGGTTTTGGTATTAGCACTTGTCTGTAAGACCTAAGACAGCACAGTTAACTCTACATGAACACTAGATTCAAATAACGCTGACAGCTCATGTGACTAACAGATACCTCTCATCACCCTAAAAAGACAAGATAGTCATTGCTGCATACTTACTACATACCCATCTAGGAAGTCATGCATAGGATACCCGAAGTTTCCATTTCAGACATAGCCCCAACTATATGCAGAGATCTTTTTGTGTCCATGTGTGTCTGTTTATACCGCTCATGCTTGTTAGATTTATGAATCTCAGCAATCACTGCTTAGGCAAGTTATACATATTTAATTCTTACATTTTTCCTCATGAATTAATCTCTACAGCTTCTACCCATTTACTGCTTCAGAGTTCTCTTCAATGACCACTGTCTTTGTAACACGAACACTAATATAGTATTTCAACTACTGTTGTTGTATCAACACTCTTCTTCTCTTGTCCCCTGGAACAACTCCTCCTACACATGCAACACAACTACACTGACATTTCCTAGCACCCTAGCATATTCACAGGAATTCCTCATTTAAAACTTTTATTCAGGAATGCTAAAATTCAGTGGGTTTCCTCACAGGGAGATGGGGAAGAGCACAACAAAGGTATTACATTCCTCTTTTTCTTTTTACCAGCAATTTTTTGTCTAGCACTGAGATAATGCCAAGTGAAATCGAATATCAGGTGACTTCAAGTTTAATTTATTACAACAAAAATTACAAAATAAGCCCTATGTTAATCTCAATAAAGCCTCTCACATTTCAGGTGCCTTTCAGATTCTCTCTCAACATCTATATGCCATTTGACTTCACTGGGACACAAAAGGAATTTACAGTTATTAATCTCTTTTATCAAATGTCTCTGTTTTCAGCGTGGAAAAAAACCAAAATCATCAGCCACTTCAGAAATTCATCTTGTGTTTTGCCTATGCAAAACATAAGGTACACATAAGCACAGTCTCTCTACTCAGCAGCAGCAGCTGTGTTAAGACACAGCACGTGTTGCTCAACTGCTGCTGCTCTTCCCCTTCCATGTAACGCAGGTTCTGGACCTCTGCATGCACATTAAGGATTGCAGTCCAGAGGGAGAAGCCACAGTGGCCATAAGGGGGGCTGGCATGGAGGCTGGCAAACTCATGACCATACCTGCGAAAGTCATGTATGATACAGAGAGAGGCCCTGAGTAATCAGCACAAATCCAAAACTTAGCCCTATACCAGCCACTGCAAAGAAAATTAACACTACCCTACATGAAGCCAGCTGTGCTACACCAACTCTACAGATCAAGCAGAAACTTGTTTTCTGGTGATTCTCAATAAATACTCAGTATGTTCTAGTTTCTTTCTTAAAGGAACTGGATATTAACTGTCCTTGCTCAAGAAGCAGGACCCCTTGCAGCCACTTCCCTGGAAACCTATGGTTTATTACCTCATTATACTGAGGGCTGAAGAAAAATGAAACTCTAAGAGTTGTCTGCTTCTGGTAAATATTTAACTACCAGAACCATGCCAACGACTTCTCAGCTTGATTCTCCTTAACTTTACTTCAGAATCATGTTCTCCTCATCCCTTATGGCCTGAAGCTGAGTGTGTATTGTATTTAGCAACATAAGAACATTTCTCCTCTAGGATGTGAATGGATCCTACTAATATATTATGATAGCATTTACTCTGAAATGAACTTCAGTCACTCTTATCTCTTCAGATAAAGAATCATCTGATTGTTGCTTTATGAGCTTCAGCTTCTCAGATTAGAAAGTTTTCCCAACTATTAACAGAGGGAGAGAACAATGCTTAGCCTCTGAAATTGTTTGAAGAAGACAGAGGGGTGGCACTTCACAGTTATGGATCAAGTGTTACCCAACTGGGCATAGAGCAGGGTGAGGAAGGGCAGATGTGGAAAAAGTCATCAGGCAATTCCAGGCCCCAGCAGCTAGAGGAAAGGCCAGTATCAAGTGTAGAGCAGCCCCAACCTTTGCACCATTCTGAGGATGCAAGACAAGTCCTGCCCACTCTGTTTCAGCTGTCTGTTCCAGTGCCCACAGCTACTCCACACAGCAAGA